TGATTTACCATCTTCAAAGAATCAATATTAGTAATTATTTTCTTTTTCAGACTATGTGTTGTAATATAATGTAAAAGAAACAACTAATATACGTATAAATGATTAATTATAATATTTGTAATGACAAATTAGAATTTAAGTTAAAAAGTAATAATAAAATGATATATATAATTTTGAAGTTATGTATATAGAAGTTTTATTCTTAATAGTATAGATTAAACATAAAATCAGATCTTAGTAATATTGGATTTTTTTTGTTTTGTATAAAATTTTGTTTTTTTAATTTTTTTTATTAGTTGTTTTTTCTATTATTTTAATTTGGTTTTTTTTACTTTTTTACAAAAAGGTATTATTAGTTTAATAATGTCTAATTATAGAATAATGGTCTAACATAGTTTTCAACAACTGTAAAACAACTTAATATAACAAATTATATATAGATATTTAAATAACTAAAAATACTTTGTAAATTGTTAACTTTAACTATTTGTAATTTATTCAAAAACAGTTATTAATGTTAAACCTTTAATTTAAAATTAATTAATATATTTTATATATAGAAACCTAATAAAATTTAATAATAACCCTATTAAAATAAAAAAATATTTAAAATTAAATTAAAATTAGTGCTTAAAATTTAATTTAAAATTAAAATTTTATAGTTTTTTATTAAAAAGTAAACAGAAATTAGTGATTTAAAAAGAAAAAAGATTTCTTAATTAATTAAATTATATAATCAAACCTTTCTATAATTACACTCTTAGTTTTAATAATTTGGTACTTATAAAAAGTTTGTGTCTATATAAAGGTTAAATTTTATAAGCATTATATAAGCTGGTTTTAAATTTTTATATAATTATAAGCAAATATAACTATAAATAAGGTAACTAACTATAAAGAGATCTAATTGTATATATAAATTGATTAGTTAATTTTTAGCTAAATAGAAAAAAATAAAACCTTTTAGTAAATTAAAATTTATATAAGTTCTGTTTATACTTTTAAAACTTTGAAAAAAATATTTTATTAGTAAAATTTTAAGTTATATAAATATTTGTATTTTATATATTATAAAACTAAAAAAGAAAAAATATACTTTTTTATTAAATTAATAATTTTAAAAATATAGTTTAATTCTACTAAATTTAAATTATTATATATACAAAAATAATTTTAAAATTTTGTAAAATATGCTAAAATTTATAACTTAATAATTAAGCTGTTAATTTTTACAAATAAGATTAATAGTTTAAATTGAATTAAAAACAATTTTAAAAATTTTAAACTTTATAACCTAAAATAAAAACTAAATCAAATGTAAAACTCTATAAAAAGTACAAAAAGGTACAAGAATAAATTAGAAATTTTTTTAAAAAAATTAACTTTATAGAAAAATTATTAAATATAACAATAGCATTACAAAAGGTTTTATTATATTAAATGTTATTTAGATAAGTTTTTAATAAATAGAATAATACTAATATTTTTATATCTAATTTGCAAAGTATTTGATTAAAAAGATAATGCAAATATAAATAAAACTAAAAACTAATATAATATACAAAAAAGATTTATAACAAAAAATTAATCTAATCAAAAGAAACATTTTAGATAAATAATATAAATCCTAAAAAAACAAATCTAATAATCATATATTACAACTTTGTTGATAGTTATTATACCTGTATATTATGTATAATTTAAGATTCCAGACCTTTTTGCAATATCAAAACTAGAAATAAAGTAGTATAATAGTAATAGTATATTTACAAATATTTGTAAAAACATATATGCTTACATTACAAACTAAATTAACTATAAGAGTATATAAAAAAAATATATGATATTTGCAAACTAATAATTTAAAACTTGATAACTTCAATTATATTAATTAATACCAATACATAAAAACTGTATACATTAAATTAATAGCAAGAAATTATCAAAGTTAACTAATTTAGAAAAAAAATTACAGTTAAACCTCTTTATAATTACCTTCTCTATAGTTACATTTACTTATAATCACATAAAATTTTAAACTAATTTATATAACACTTATAAAATTTAACCTTCATATAAATACAAATTCTTTATAAATACCAAATTCTTAAAATCAAGAATGTAATTATAAAAAAGTTTAACGGTATTACAATAAGTAAATAAAGAGCTGAATTAGAAAATATAGTATCACAAGATGGTTAAAATCTTACTTTAATTAGTAATAATAATTGTAATACCATAATGCTAACCTTAATTTAGATATAATGTCACATTGGATGTCTATATAAAAATAAAATAACACAAATGTATTGTAAAAACTATTGTATATTAATCTAATATTAATTTAATAAAGTATTTATAAATTGACAAAAAAAAAAATTATAAAACATACTAAATAGTAAAATAAAATAATTAAAGCAAAAAATACTGTAAATTATTTTACAAAATATGATTTAAAATTTAGGTCAGATCAGAGACTTGAAAGCGAAGATAAATCGCGTGACCTCAGGCCAATCAAATTATGGAATTTTGATGATCGCCACAAAAAAAAAACGAAAACCTTCAAAAATACAAAACCGGCAGTCTAAACCTACCTCAGGTGAGTTAAGTAAAAATGTCGGAAAGGCAACTTTGCATATATATACCTACCTAAAATCCAACCCACACCTAATCTAAGATAACCCTAACCCTAAAGTTAATTCAAAAATATTAATTATATAAGTTATCTCCACATTAGATGTCTCCTAAAAGTGGTATAAAATTGATTTCTATCCACAGCGAAGTTGTGGGGGTTTTAATCGATTCGATGATGATAACACATGATTAAAGAACATTATCATCATTGAATTGATTAAAACCCCGCAACTTCGCTATGAATGGAAATCTATTTTAGACTTCTTGATTTTCTCTTGGTGTCACCCAAATGGATTTTTTGACAATAACGAACTCTTGAGCAAAATTAAGAGTTTAATTTGGGTCAGGCATATAATTAGGACCGTTTGAAGATATCAAGAAACATGAAATATGAACAAATTAGTTGGGAGGTTAAGTAAACCTTCTATAATGAACCCTAGGTTCTGTCCAAGAAAAAAGTTCATTATATAGAATTACTATATTTTCTTAAGAGCCGTAGCTCTTGTTATACCGAACTAATATTAAATTTTAAAAATTTTAAGTTCGTTATATTCAGAGTTCGTTATAAAAAGATTCGCTATATTCAGAGTTCGTTATAAAAAGGTTCGTTATATCCAGAATTACTGTACTTATCAAAATACTTCTTGAAAATGTGCACTTATAAAGAAGTCTAACTATAGCGTATGATAATAAGTACTCTAAATGCAATATATTATTATTGCAAAGTAAATTCTAATCAAATGGCACTTATAAAGAGAAAAGATGCACTTTCGGAGAATTGGGGTATAGATAAAATAAGTAAAATTTTATACGTACCGTTATACGTAAAAGTGTTACATAATTCATGTGATCCTTAGGACTCTTGATTATGAACAGACTTAAATCGACAGGCCATTTTGACTCATTTGACTAGACCAGTTTGACCAGACTAACGACCATTAACCATAATATTCTGCAAAAATGTTTAGTGCAGTCTACTCTGAACATAACGATAACGAACTTCTTTACACTATAACCAAAAAAGTAAATTACTATGTAGAGAAATTTTAACTATAATCTTCATGTTATAGCGATAGAGGATAGAGTTTATCGTATGTAGCAGATTATAAATCAAATTATTCCAAATGATTAATATGATCGAAATTTAAATACATATCGATATTTCAAACTGTAAATAGATAGCTGTAATTAGATTTTTAATAATGTATTTGTAATATATTAAATAAAAGACGCCATTTCGCGTTTAAAAAAAAAAAAAAAAAAACATATTGATATAAATTAAAAAATTTATCAGCACACACATTTGAGCGTTTTTAAATAAGCGATGCAGTAGCGATTTAAATGATCAGAAATGATCTCTTACACTAAGGCTCTGCATTAGGTAGTTTTTTTTTTAATCAAAAATGAGCCACAGGGCTGAAACTTTATTTGTAAATATATGTAAATATACATATACACAAAGTCATTTAGGAGAATAAATATAATAAATATTATTCCGGTATATTAGATATTAACGTTAGGTGAACGTTTCGTTATATGCCGTTACATAGAAAAGCCTTTATGATATGATAACAGGAGGAAACTTATCCGATCCAGATTGAGAGGGATTATAGTTGTAACGCCCATCATTATGAGATGATTTTTTTATGTGCTGTACATTTCCTCCTGTTTGATATAATAGATATATTAGTGTTAGCAGATCAACCAAAACTTAGGGTCGTAATCAGTGTTAGAAATTCATGACAGTATAATAAATTTTGTGAACATACTCCTGTACTCTTTTTTTTTATCATGTTCACAAATAAAATTTTATTAATTAGATATACGTAGCAATAATACAAGTCAACTATACTTACATGTTATTTTGCTCGTGTGAATAATGTTGGCAAATACTTTTACAGAGGCACATAAATAATTACAAAATTATAGCTCCAACATGAAGAATGCTGGTGAAACTTTGTAATACTGGTGTAATCATGTGCCAATACAACAATACACTATTTGATGGAAAATTACATACGTACGTAGTATTTCATTAACATAAAAAATGTAATTTTAAGTAATACAACCCTAACTACGTATCTGGGCAGCATTACTTAATGTGTTAGTACGTGGGCTACCATTTTATTAGGTCGGTTTGCTGCTCCACTAATCTATCCTTATATGATATACATTACGCAAGCATTTAGCCACTTATCGCTTATATGCTTTGCCACCAATAATAAATTGTCGATCACCAAACGTTTACATATAAATGTTAAGTACAATATAAACTTTATTACTCACATTTCTTCTATTTTTTGAATTTTTATTATTCATTCATTCTTGATTTTATTGTTATTATTTACTTCAAACTCGTTTAAATTATGGCTAAAAATTCTAGAAATAATGAATCTATTTCACATAAATATACTTCATTTGGACTAAAAAAGTCCAAAGACGAAGATAATTATACAGAAGACGACCTGATGAACGCACCACTATTATCGGATAACTCTGGTATTGAAGGAATTTCAGTGATTGATGAAGCATCCAACGATGAGGATTTTGACAAACTCTTAGGAATGAGAATGCCACATGAAGGTGGATCTGTGTTCTCTAGTTTTTTAAATATGGCAAATAGTATTATTGGCGCTGGTAAGTTTATATTTGCGAAAAAAATCCTTATACATAAATGCAGTCGACTCTGGATATAACGGACCTATTCTATAACAGACTTTTTTAAAAATTTTATTATAGAGTTTAGTATAGAAATATAGTAAATTACTCTATAAAGAATTTATAAATATATTTACTATAAAAGCCTTCAGTTCGTTATAAAGAGAGTTGACTGTATATTATTATGTTGCATTTGTTATTAAATCCTATATTGTTTTTGAAAACAGGCATAATCGGTAAGTATTGTATCATTAAATCAATGAAGAATATACATTTAAACTTACACTTATATATATACTTTAGGTCTTCCGTATTCTTTCCTAGAAGCTGGGATATTTACAGGGATGATATTATTGGTTGTTCTTACTATAGTAGTAGATTGGACAATTAGACTTTTAGTACTTAATTCAAAACTATCTGGAAGAAGTTCTTATCAAGATATAATGCACTTTTGTTTTGGAAAAAGTGGGCTGATAGCCATATCATTATTCCAATTTGTATTCGCATTTGGAGGTAATGTTTTCTGTTTTTATATTAAGATTCGTAGCTATATCAAATTTCTGATTACATAATACTTATGATCAGTGTGAACTCTCGTTACCCAGGGATGTGTGCTTTTTGTGTCATTATAGGTAAGCATTAAATTATGGTTTTTGATTTTATTCAAAAAAATTAATCAGTAAAAGATTACAGGTGACACGATTCCAGAGGTCATAAAATCTCTCTTTCCCGGTATAATTCATATGCCGGTTCTCTTTCTCTTCGGAAAACGAAATTTTGTAATCATCATTTGTACTGTTTTCGTGTCCTATCCATTGGCTCTTTATCGAGACATTTCCAAATTGGCAAAAGCAAGTGGTTTGGCCTTGATTTCTATGGTTATTATTGTAGTTGCTGTTTCTATAGAGGGTCCTTTAGTAGACCCGTCTCTAAGAGGCATGGAGGAAGGAAAATGGGATTTTATACGTCCGGGAGTTTTTCAGGTGCTTTACTTTTTATAAAAATGGTTCTATCACAATATCCTGGTATCCAAAATCTCCAAAACATAATCCCGACGTGACAACTAATATTTAAAGATTTGTAATCACATTAACAATCATCGTCAGAGTTAAAATTTTAATTCACATAGCGTGATGGAGATTTTGGATGTCGGTAGAACCTATAACAAAATTTTTTTTTGTTGCTTGGAATTAATGAAATAACTTATCTTTATATCTTTATTAAAATATATTTGATTAGTCGATTGGTGTTATAAGTTTTGGTAATATATGTATATGTTAGTTAATTTGGGAAATTAATAGCTTGATTATATTTTTAATGTTATATTTTATTATTTTCCCAGCATTTGTTTGCCATCACAATAGTTTACTTATTTTTGATGCGTTGCACAAGCCCACTATGAATCGGTTTGCTGCAGTTACTCATTTATCAACTTTCATATCCATGGCAGCATGCATGTTAATGGCATTAACCGGATATTTAGTATTCACTAATAAAACACAAGGTATTCAAACTCTAAATATCATATCATTATTATTCTTTTATGCTTATTTTTATTTATTTATTTTTGCAACAACAGGTAACATTCTGAACAACTTTCCAGGAAATGATGTTATTATAAACATAGCTCGCTTTTGTTTTGGATTCAATATGTTTACTACATTACCTTTAGAATTGTTTGTGTGCAGAGAGGTATGATTAATTTACATTATAATAAAAGAAATTACAATTTTATATTTCATTTAATAATATTGATGTACTATTTTTAGGTGATCAATAACTATTATTTTGCTGATGAACAATTTACTTGGATACGACATGTAACTATAACCACTATTCTTGTTGGAAGTGCTATGGCCATTTCTCTCTTGACAGACTCTCTTGGTATAGTACTTGAGCTTACGGGTGGATTTTCTGCAACAGCATTAGCTTATATTCTACCTCCAGCTTGCTATTTAAAATTATCTTCAGGCGAATTATTGACATTAAATAAATTGCCTGCAATATTGTGTGTGATTTTTGGTGTTTTGGTGATGGTGTTGAGCACTACATTGAGCATTACACAAGTTATAAGTGGATGGACGAAATAATCATCAAACATAGTTTATTTATTGCATTGGATGGTTTAACATTTTTGTAATTAATGTTGAGTATAATATGTGACATGAAAATATTTACATAGAACACATAGATAATAAATTTTATATCTGTTTACTGTTTCTCATTGCATACAGTACTCGAATAAATAGCGTAACGATAGGTTTAAATTCGATTTTATTGAATTGATTAGCAGAAAATTTTGATTGATTAGAATATCTTTTAATTTAGGGATGTAATTGGCTTGGATAGCTTGTCTTGGCTTATAAATTTATAGCTAAAGCTTAAACCATAAATTTAAATAGCCGTAATTTATGCTATGGTTACTAACATGGTTTAACTATAGCTAAAATATAACCTAAACCAGATAAGCTATGATTCAGGCTGTGATTCTAGTTATGGTTTAAGCTATTTAGACATGACTTAAGTTATAGCTTAAATTATACGTAGCTTAAGACGGCTTAAGTTACAGTTTGGATTAGGGCTTAAACCAGCTTTTAAACTAGCTTAAACTATGGCCTAGATTATAGTTAGAGTTACTTAGATATAACTCATGTCATGATATTAAGTTGAAATTTTTTACTGTCAACTATATTATTCAAAAATAGGTAACCTATACTTATATTTTTCTGAATTTTAATAAAATGTAATGATACAAATATTTGACAGAAAATTTCGATATAAATGTGTTTTACATATAAGTTTAATCGCAAAATGATAGCATGTTCTCTAATATACGAATATCACGTAAAAAATAAAATGTAACAAGTACACATTTATAAATATTGATATGTTTCACCAAATATTTCTTTCTTTATGACACGAATAAAGATTAAAATTAATGCTATTTATTTATATATTAACAGCTAATTTTCTATAATAATTTATTTTTTATTAATAATATAAAAGTTATTATACTTATATTATCATTTTTATTAAACTTTAGAACTACTATTTTAATATGTAGATAAGGTTTCGGGTTATCATCTTATTATTAATATTAAAATTTTTAATTTATAATATGTATCAATGCTATTATTAAATAAGTATATTTTCTAAATTTGTTATTTGAAGTCAGGTTTTATTTAAATTATTTGTAACATTTGAGTTATTTAAATATTTAAACTGGAATATTTTATCTTTAATTAAAATTGGCAAATTTAATATTAAACATTATGGAACCTGTTAAAAAAAAAAAAACATTATGGAACCTGAACAGGCCCTGGTTGTTTAGAGTAGATTATTACTTAATAAAAAAGGAGTCAATTATATTTGTCACATTCATCATATTGTAATTGATTAGTTATATATAATACATTTAAGGATAAAGTGTATGTAGATCATTTTTATATAGTTTTGTATGTCTCTTTAAAATTTTTATTTAAAATTGATATATAGGGTCTTTGCCTTGAAAATGACCTTACAGAACTATGTAGATTTCATAACTAAAAATTAAAATTTCTAACCATCCAATGATCCAATTCAAACAAACTTTTTTTTATTTTGTAGAACTGAGTGAATTCTATAAAATAAAAAAAGTTTGTTTGAATTGGATCACTGGGTGGTTAGAAATTTTAATTTTTAGTCATGAAATCTACATAGTCCTGTAGGGTTATTTTTAACACAAAGACCTCATATATTACTAATAAAACTTTATTATTTTTTTATTTTATTTTATTTTTTTTTCTTAAGCAGTTATACTAGTATTTTATTAAGATTCTTGAAACTAAATACATATATAATTATATAGAATTTCCTAATATCTAAGTCTAGCATCATTTAGTTACTCTAATGGTACCTAAGTGCAACCTATTACATTATTTCAATTAAAGATAGACTACTCATCTAACTACTTAAAGTTATATCAAAAAGGTCTTTTTTCTTCTATAACAAGTATATTAATTGTCTTTTAGGTTTTTTTTCTATTCATTTTATTTTTTTTATTTCTTCCTTTTTTTTTCTTTTTTATTATTTTTTTTTCTTTTTCTTTTATTATTTTGTCCTTTTTTTTTGTTGAGTTCTTTCTTATCCAAATACCTTTTTTCATTTTACTTGTAATATTAATCTTTATTTCTATTTTTGTATCTTTTCATATCAGACTTTTCATATTTGATTGTAAAAGGTATTTTATACTATTTTTGTTACTATATCTAGATATTTTTTTACTGCTTACTTATTTAGCAGTTTATTAAGTCTTTTTCCTACTTTTATTATAGTTAATTCTTTTATTAACATCTTTCTATTTATAATTTCTTCTGTTTCTATTTTTCTGAATAGTGTTTTATATAATATTTATGTTAAGATTCTATTTTTTTCTCTTCTTTGAATCTATTCTATACTATTGCTATTGAAACTTTCTGTATTTATTTCTATAAACTTTTTTGTTTACTATACTTGATAAGTATTCTTGGATTTCATCTTTGTTATTTTGACAAACTTGATATTCTGTTATCATGTATACTTCTGATCTACTTCTATAGTATTAGTATATTATTTATTACATACTTGATTGCTATGCTTCTTCTTGTAATTAGTTTTCTTGAGATATAATGTATTTTTTTTGTTTTACTTATCTCTTTTCAGAAACTTAACAAATTATAAAATGTTGTTCTGTTTTTAGTTTTAAAATTCTGATTGATTTTGTATTTCTCTAATAAACTTTTATTTTGGTATTCATAATTATCTTATAGAGAAGTTTTGCAAGTATATTTATTTCTTTATTTTCTTATTTTAGTTATTTATTTTTTAATTAATCAAAAAAAATTTTTATAATATTATAAATAAAATTATTTATTTATTATATTAAAAATTATTTATTTATTTTTTTAAGATGACCTCTTTGGTCTTTTGATTTTTATTAATCACTTATTGGTATTGTGGTTCAATGAACTACTACAGAAGAGTATACAATTAGCTATATATATAAAGAAGTCTGTTCAAAGGTTCTCTACTAATTGTCATATCTAACACTTTTGCTTAGATGCTGTAATCTGTATTAACTTATTGGGTCATACCCAGATATCTAAATTATTGTCTCAACCTTAGAACTAATTTATCTTTAATGTAAACCCTTCAGAGCCTTTTGTACCCATTTTTATAGCTAATCTAGGTATCACTATGGCAAAACCAAGACTGCAATTAGGACTTAATCATTAAACTACTGTGCTCTTGTAGAGTTCATTTAGATTCTAGCATCTACTTCACAGCATAATCCCAGTACTTTAGTATACTCTTGTCTTTTCTTCTTCTTTTTATTAAACTTCTAATTCAGATAACCTATATAGAACTACAACCAGTTCATCAATATATTGAGTTAGCCCAATATTCTTTTTCTTTGGTTTGTTCTAGTGTCCTGGTTGGTAGTACCTCTAAGACTCTCAACCTAGAGGTCCTTGCCTATCTGGTTACTATGACCAAATACTAGACCTTGGTATTTGTTTTACCAGACTAGCTTTTACAATAGAGCCATCAAAAATTCAACTATCTCTCTACTTGGGTCTTCCTAAATAGACTTCTTGTTATCCAATTTCAATAGATTTACATAGCCACAAGGACTTATCTAGTGTTTGTACTGTCCAATTTGTCAATTTGCATTCTTTTGTGTAACTTCAATATTGCACAGATGCCCATGATCTGCCAGTCATGTTGGTATGATTGCCATTATAAGTATCTTAACTTAATCATTAATAACAGTTACTATAATATAAATATTACATAGGTGATTATTCAAATTTTTGCTATCGATGAGATTTGATCACCTAACCTACTACTTAGAGGGTTGACAATCTGACCACTTCACTAAGTCACCACACCTTATATTAAAAATTATTAAAAATTTGAATTATCATATTGTTTTTAAAATAAAATACTTATATATATAATCAAATTTTCTTAAATTGTATAAAATTTTTTTAGATAGTATAAAATTAAAGAATTTGATTAGTTAATTTATATAAATCTATAAATTAATTTTTTATATAATTTTATATCTTAATATTTAAAATTCATATTTTAATGAGTTTTTAACTAATTTTAATAACTTTGTTATTATTAAAATTAGGAAGATCTATTTTACAACTTTTATATAATAATTCAAATTAGTTTACTTAATATAGTTTTTTATATAAATTTAAATATAGGGTATGGTAACCTAGTAAAATAGTCAAGTTGTTAATCCTCCAAGTGATAAGTTAAGTATTTAAATCCTATTAATAATAAAAATTTGAATAATCATCTATATAATATTTATATTACAGTAACTATTATCAATGATTAAATTAGAATATATGTAATGTCAGTATACAACATGACTGATAGATTATAAAGTATTTATATAAATATGATATTATATAAAGAAATGCAAAATAACAATTATATGATACAAATATAAGATAAATTCTTGTGGTTATATAAATTTATTAAAATTAAATAACAAGAAGTCTATTTAGAAAGACCTAAATAGAAAGATAACTGAATCTTTAATAGTACTATTGTAAAGACTAACTTAAAAAAACAGATATCAAGATTATAGTATCTAGTTATAGTACTCAGATGGGTAAGAATCTCTAAGTTAGAGAAGACTCAAAGGTATCATCAACCAAAACATCAGAATGAACTAAAAAAAAAAGATATTAGACTGATCTAATATATCAATAATCTGATTATAGTCTTATATAAACTATTTGAATTGAAAGTTTGAAGAAAAGATAGAGATATACTAAAATACTAAGGTTATGCTATAAAGTAAATACTAGAGTTTATATGAACTTTACAAAGACATAGCAGTTTAATGATTAAGTTCTAATCATAAGTGTTAGTTCTGCTATAGCAATACCAGATTAACTATAAAAATAGATATAGAAAGCTTTGAAAGGTTTATCTTAAGAATAAAATAATCTTAAGATAAAGACAATGATTTGAGTATCTAGATATAACCTAGTAATATTAATACAGGTTGCAGGTTTAGAAAGTTTAAAATAGAACACCCAAGCAGAAATGTTAGATATAGTAATTTGTAAAGAACTTTTGAGCAGACTTCTTAAATAGATAATATAAAAAATTTACATATATAACCAATTGTATACTCTTCTATAGTGGTTTATTGAATCATATTACCAAAAAAATCATTAATAAAAAATCAAAAGACCAAAGAAGTCATCTTAACACCAAAAAAAAAAATTTAAATATAAAAAAGAATTACTATTAAGTTTATATATAATTTTAAAATAGTACATTCTATTCTTAATAAATGTAAAAGATATTAGTAATTAATTAAAAGGATATTTTTAAGAATATAAATAAGATATGATATATTGATATCATCAATAATATCAATTATATTCTTCACAAAATATAAATAAAGTTTTTATAATTATAAATAAAGATTAAAGAGGTTTTTAAAAAAAGACAACTTCTAAAAAAAAAAATAACTTTTACTTAAAAATATGGTGACCAAAAACTCTTTCCCGTAGATCCTAATTTACTAAGAAAAATAAAAAAATCAGAAATATACAATAGAAAACCAGTAAAGAAAACTAAATAAACATACAGCAAAGCTCATATTGAGCATAATAGCAGCATCTGGCAGCTAGACATAGATATACCAACAACAAATACAGCAAAGATTAAGAGGAAAAGAGATAAAGAGACTACTTCTACAACTAAAAACGACACACAACGGCCTCAGGGCCCTACTTTCGAGTTTTCCTTTCAGACTCAGCTACAACTACTAATGAACAACAAACCAACGAGTAAATTGCCAAAAGGCAAGGCCAAATATAGAACAGACAAGCCCTATACTGACCAAGCAACAAAAAAAAGACGTACACTTCTTCCTAGAGCAAAAAATAATACAAAAAGTGGGCAATTGAGCATAACCCCATTAGAAAATGCAATGACATCATACCATACCAATGACAACAACAACAAACCAGTTGAAACAGGTTCTAAAAATACAAATGCAAATGTGACAGACAACAACAACGAGCAGATAATTATTTCCCACGATGGCATGCCCCATACTACTATAAATGGTAATAACAATATGATAATAGAGACAGATATAGACTCAACTGCTGAAAAGGATAGTGAGGTAACCACCCAACGTATAGAAAACGCCCAAGCAACGACCAGCCAAAATGCCATACCTGACAATGAGGAAAACAACAACAAAATGGAAACAGAATCAGTGGACACAATAGCGAGTCA